TTTATTAATTTACATCAAAAATAAACCGAATTACTACGTTTAAAAAAATTTTAAAATGAATTTTATTTAAAAAAATTAATTCAAATTAATTAAAATTTGATAATTATATGTATACTTAAAAATTGGTAACAATAAAATTTATCGTTTAGTATAAAACTAAAAGGTAATCAATATATATAAATAAAATTATCGTTATTGTTATTACCGAAATAATAATAATAATAATAAATTTCAATATCGTTAATAATATTTTTTATTTATTTTTCGTCAAATTATTTATTTGAAATGAAGAAATCGTTTTTGTATCTTTTTTTATAATGAGGTCAAGTTTATTAGGTTAAACTCTATTTTACATTATTGTTGGAAAAACATAAAAATTGTTTAGAATTGTTTAGAAAACATAGAAAACTGTTTAGATGAGATTCTTTAACAAAAACTTCTTGATATAATTTCCATGTGTAATTTTTTTTTACTACTACTACTACTATTCATTAAAAATTTTAAATTATTCATATATTTTGTATAAAAGAAGTACGAACGTGTTTTTTTTTTTTTTTTGACCTAGAAAATATTATTATTATTACTATTAAGAATATTTAATTTTATAAATTTCGTCATGATTTAAATAAATTTTTAATTATATTTATTTTCGTTATTGAGAAAAAGTAATTAAAAAAAGACTTCTTTTTAAAATTAATAACGTTTTCCTTATTAAAATGTATTTATTTATTAATAATGGCCATTTTAATTTTTTATTTAGAGTGCATTTTTTTTTTTTGAAAAATTACAAATGGCGAACGAACATGGAATTAAATAATAATAATAATAATGTAAATATAAAATCTTTGATTAATCACGGTGACAGATTAAAAAAAAAAAAAAATAGTAAACAATAAAATAAAATAAATATTTGTTGTTATGGATAAACATTATTTTTAAATTTTAAATATTACATATATATAACATAACTGTATTTCAAAATCAAATTAAATAAATAAATAACATAATAATAATAATTCAAAGTTTTTTTTTTTCTATAAAAATATATATGTGGTCAAGATTAGTTTTCTTATTATTACGTACAATAATTTTTTTAACGTAAAATTTCTTAGTTAATTTAATCGACTAAACAGTTAACGAACTTGTTTTTATTTTGTGTAATTTTTAAAATAAGAATTTTATTGTTTAGGTTTTTGTCGTCTGCTTTCATTAATAAACGAAATAATATTTTTGTTTACATTTTAAGTAAAGTTACAACACGAGCAGGTTTTCACATGCAAAAGGTTCGAAAAAGATGCAAACGTTAAACCTTTCGTTACGATTAATTATTTTTCATCGATAATAATAATTAAATATGTAATAGATAGATTGATAAATAATTTTTTAAATTAAAATTGTAATTTTTTTTTTTTTTTTCAACTTCACTACAAGGATTTATAGTCATAAATGTGAATGACTTTTGTAGTGTTACATGACGGTTGGTTACATGTCAACTATGCATTATAAAGACGACGGCAACATCTGACGCCAATAAAAAATATAAAATAAAGACTCATAAATTATTATAATGAAATTTTTTAAATATTTTATATATATATATATTGGTAAAGTGGTACGAAAACGTTATATAAAAAGGAAAAAAATAATAATAATAATTTATGATCTTTTATTGTTTGAAAAAAAAAAAAAAAAAAAAAAAAAAAACAGAAAATTCATCTTTTTAAGATGGAAAGTTGTATTAAAAAATGTTTTTTTTTTTTTTTTCTCTGCAAAATAATATACTTTTAAAAAAAATTTTTACATCTTAATTACCCATTGGTTTTTTTTTTTTTTTAAAAAATTTTTCAAAAAATTTGTACTTTTAAAAAAAGATTTAAAGTCAAAATAAATCAAACTCCCCTTATTATTATTATATATGCACGAGTTTTTTTATAAAATGTACTTTCCAGTCACTACATCAAAAAAAATTTAATATATATATATATTTGTGTGGGTTTTTTTATCCCAAAAAAAAATTTCAATGTGATAGTTTATGTGATTTTGAAAAATATTTAGCTAAAGTTTTATTTTTAAAGATTAAATTAAATGGAACTCATTGAAAAATGATAAAAATATTATGTAGTTATTGATAAGTATCCAAATAAATAAATTTAAAAATTTTTTATGTGTAGTTGCCCTCTCAGGCAAATAATTTTTTAAAATTTTTCATACCAAAACTTCTTCATGTTATGTTTTATGATTGCTAATTCTATTAAATTATTGTTTTTTATTTTCTTAAATAAAATATATTAAATTTTCAATCAATCATTGAATTCAAGTTAATATTCTCTCATTGCAAAAATCCCAATTTTAACTTTTTTACATTTCATTACATTAATACTTTCTATTAATTTATCATTTTACTAATTAATTCTTGTATATAATTCAATAATAAATTCAAACCATGAGTTAACTTAACTCTAAATAAATTAATTGGTTATAAATTATAAATAATTTATGTTAAAATAATGTTGGTGTGAATATACATTGAATAGGTTTTTTTTTTGTAAAATATTACCTACCCTCAGTATTAAAAAGTAATAAATTGTTGTTTAACTACTACTAAAAACCTTTAATAAATTTCTGACATTTATTTTAAATCATAGTCTTGTTACATATAAGTAGCCTAATTTTGATTTATTATTTTATGCCAATTGTTAAATTGCATGCAGGTGTTTTTTTCATATATAATAATAATTAAATAATTAAAAACATTGTTTTTAAATTAATGCTGATATTAACTATTAACTATTTCATTCTCAAATTATTAAAAGTTAGTTTTTATTGTCATGTAGTTATTAAAATGATTTCAATACACAGTTATCAAATGTTAAATTTTGTACAAGTGCCAAATTTCTTTCTTAATTATGATAAATTTTTAAATAATTTTATATTTTTAACATGTTTTATTTTATTCTAAAGAATAATTATGCAATTAGTTGTCTAAATTATATTTTGACAGTTACTTAAAGTCAAACAGACAAAAAAATTAAGTTTCATATTAAAAATGCATACATTTTAGGGATGCAGGTGTGTGTGTCTGCATAAACAGTATATGATTTGCAATATGATATTTAAAAGAGTAAATAAAATGTAAAATAACATAAAAAAAGTTATAATTAAAGCCATTTCTTATAAAATATAGTTTGCATGCTAATACATATAAAAAAGAATGAAAGCTTAAAACATAATGGTTTTTATAGTGTCTAAAAAGTTTTCAAATGCTATGTGTCTATGGGGGGAAAACTATAATTAATTTATCATAATTAATCCCGAATAATATTATGAATTGCCTTTTTTTTGCAGTTTCTCGAATTTATATGCATGAATAAGTAAAAATTAGATCAAAATTATAAAATGGTCGTTAAAAAAATTTTTACATATAAACTTACCAAGGAGTTTTGCACCATCAATGTATTTCAGAAAACGGAAAACTATGTTAATAAACACACAAATATTACGGAAAAAAAACTTACACTTATATTATTCACTTTAACTTCATGACTTCTTTTTAAATAAAAATAAAATTAAAACCAAAATTTTAACAGCAAGACACAAGTAGAAAAAAAATTTTGTTCGTGGAATTTTACATCGCGGGAATTACGTCGTACCAACATACTTGAAATGGCGGTTTTTTTTAGTCCCACTTCTATCATTAGCCACGAATCACTAATTGTTACTTCTTTTATGAAATCTCAGGTTTATTGCACTCAGGTAAATATGGTCTTATCATATGCTTAGTATATATTAATAATGTGTCGATCTGACTTAGAAGTTGTCTTATAAAGTTAAAGCGTATCTTTTTGATGATGGTTTTAACTACGATGAAGTTTTTAAAAAAATGTTTTCATGTATTGAACTCTCTCTTTTTATATTTCGAATTTATCAGTGCATCTATGGCTCTCTTTTTTTAATGTGTGCAAACTCATAATAGAATACCTATGTAAAATTAATACCCCTATAGTTTTTATATTTTATGATCAAAAACTACACATTTCCTAATTAAAACTAGAAAAAATTAACCATTTAAAAAAATATAAAAACCAACAAAGTATATATATATATATATAATAATCATTTTATTAAATTAAAATTCTTTAATTAATTTAAATGATGAAAAATTTTAATTTATATTATAGTTGTTTTTAATTATAATTAAAATAAAATAATAATGTTGATGATTATTTATAAGAAATATACTTCCAATTGTTAATTAAAATTTTTTTATTTTTTTTTTGTTTAATTAAAATTAATTAAAAGTCATATTAAAAATGAATAACTTTTTAAATTTATAAGATTTTTGGAATTGCATAATAAATAAAATTATTATAATATATATAAAAGGTTAAAAAATTAATGAAGGTTTATAAATAAAATAATTTTTTAATCATAAATATTTAATGTAATATATTTTTTTAAAATTAATGGAAAGTATTTCCATTTTTAATTTTTCTAAAGTTGTCGTTCTGATTTAACCGTAACAAAATGATTATGGATACCGACTAGAATTTCACGTGCACAAAATATTTTATGTAAAGAAGTTAAAATGTCGATTTTGGACGAAGAAAACATCGAATCCGATTATTCGGATAATGATGAACAATACACCAAGTTATTAAATTCTGTTTCTCAACTTGACAGTTCTCAAAGGTATGAATTTTAATATTATAATTTATTGAATTTTTATTTTATTTATTAATCAACGGTAAATTATTAATTTTTAAATTTTAGGGTAAAACCAGCATCTAGAAAAGAAGTTAGTACGGAAGTATCTGAATACACTTTACAAAAAAGTGCTCCTGATTCAAAATTAGTCAATGTTAGTGAATTGGCTGATGTATTACGACAGAAAACAAAACATGTTGCCATTACAAATAAAGTTTCTAAAGTCACAGAAAAATCTAAAACTTTGCCAAAACCATTAGAAAAAACTGCAGAAGATAAATTGAAAAGGATAATAGGTTATGAAAATGTTAAAAATCAAGTACAGCGATGGGATGCTGTCGTTATGAGAAATAAATTTAAAGATCAATTAAATTTTCCATTAAAAAGTAGTCATTTGAAACTTGTAAACAGCAATGATTTTCTAAAACAATTTAGGGTTAATATTAAAATATTTTAAAATTAATATTATTAATCTTTTTATTTACTTAGCACCTAAAAACTTTTTAAAAAATTATTTTTCAGACTGCGACTCCATTAGAAGCTGAATTAGACAAAGTTTTAAAACCGGATAATTCAGTCGAACAACAAAAAGGGGATGATTCCGATTTTCCACTTACTTTGGAAGAAATGCTTGATAAAAGAAAAGAAATGGCTAGATTAAGAGCAAAATTATCATATAGAGAGGCTAAAGCTCAACGACAAAACAAAATCAAAAGTAAAAAGTATGTTTTGTGTTGTCTTGAAATTGTGACATGTGCTAGTGATAGTTTAAAATTTTTTCTGTTTGTGAAAAACATTTAAAATGTGTTTTTTTTTTAATATTCTTAGATATCATCGAATTTTAAAAAGAGAAAAATTAAAACAACAGTTGAAAGAATTTGAAATCCTTCAAAAAACTGATCCTGCAAAAGCTTTGGAAAAATTATCGGAATTAGATAAAACAAGAGCTTTAGAAAGAGCTTCTTTGCGACATCGAAACACCGGTCAATGGGCGAGAAATATGAGTGTACAAGCTAAATATGATGTTGAGGTATAGTTACATATATACAAAATAGAATGATTGAAAAAAAAATAAATTATAAATATTTTTAATTTTAATTTATCTCTTAGAGTCGGAAAATCTTGGCCGAACAGTTGCGAATGAGCAGAGAACTGACACAGAAAGTGCAAATGGAAAACAGTAGCGATGAAGATGAAAACAATTTAAATGAAGTTACAACTGATGAAAAAACAAAAAATTTAATAGTTTCAGAGGATAATCCTTGGGCATTAAATGTTTCTAAAGAAGTCGAAGACTTTGTCAGCGGATACAAAAAGTTTTGGAGTGAAAAAAATAAAGAAAACGATAAAGAAATAATGAACCAGGGCGACAAAATACCTGAAAACGAATCCCTTTCGGAGGATTTCAACACATGCTCTGATGACAAAAATAGCAAATTTAATGAAATTGACGATGGTAACAATGTATCATTAAAAAACAATAATGAAAATACGAATAAGGAAACAAATTCTAAAAAGAAAGATCAAGGTGTTATACATCAAATAGAATCAACAAATGATAAAATGAACTTAGATAATGAAAATGTAAGTAAAGAATTTAAAAAAGAAAACAATAAGAGTGTGGAAAATAAAAAAATAAGAAATACATCAGGAGATGTTAGTTTAAAGAAAGAGGAGTTTATACAATCTACTGATTCGCTTGATACGAATAATAAAATTATTGCAGGAAAAAATAAAATTAATGATAAGAATAGTTTAGATAAGCCAAAAAAAAATGATATGACTAATAAATTGACGAATAATTCAAATATTTTGAATCAGAATAAAATTAGTCCTAAAAAGGTAAAAAATAAATCAGAAGTCGATTCGAATAAGACTAATAATGATAATAGTTTAAATAAAATTTCAATGATATCCGTTCGTCCTACTTCAGGAATGTGGTTAATAACATCTGTCGAGTCGCCTGTTGATAAAAAATCAGAAGGAAAAAAAAATGATAAGAAAAGGAAATTGGAAAATATAAACAATTTATTCGATGATTTAGAAGAAAAAATGAGTCGAAAAGTATCGAAAAAGGTCAAATTAATTGATAAAAATCTTAAAAAAGATGTTGGAAAAAAATCTAATAAAAATAAGAGAAAAAAAAATGCTTGCGTTGCTAAGAAGGAATTTAGGGATGAGAAAATAAAAAATTCATTCAGGCATTCGAAAGACTCACTCAGACCAGATTTAGATGTTGGACTGTTGGAAGGAACAAACGAGGAAGAAAATTTACGAGATGTAAAAACTACAGCTGAAATCGGGAATGTCGATAATTTGTTAAATATTGAACCCGAAATAAATCCAGAAAATTTTATTAAACTTAAACCGAAAAAATTAGGGATACGCGTTCCTGAAAATATGGAAACCGTCGAAGATGATGCAGATGATGAAACGCGACAACTTCGAATGATTGAAGTTGCTTTCGGAGATGATGACGTTTTAGCAGAGTTTTCGTAAGTTTTTTTTTTTTAAAAAGTATAACAACACGAAACGAATAAGTAATATTGTACTATTTTTTTTATTTTAGAGAAATAAAAGAAAAAGAAGATGATAAAACGGAAATTGAAATGTCTGAAGAATTACCCGGTTGGGGGAATTGGGGTGGTGAAGGAATCGTAGAATCCGAAAGAAAGAAAAAAAAAGGCTTTGTGAAAAAAAGTGTAAAATTGCCAAATAGAAAAGACAAAAAAAAACCGGATATGATAATTAACGAAAAAGAAAATCCTAACATAAGAGAACATTTGGTATTTTTTTGAAAAAAAATTTTTTTTTCGTTATATGGTTTATTTTTAGAATTATTTTTAAATTAAAAACTGTGCAATTTTTTTTTTTTTTTTTTTTTTTAAGGTAAAATTTGTTCCGTATCCGTTTAAAAATGCAGAAGCTTTCGAATCTCATCTTCGAGCTCCCATCGGCCGTGAATGGGTACCCGAAACTGCTCATCGTAAGCTCATTCAAAAACCCATCGAAACAAAATTAGGTACCATTATTGAACCCATGGATGAAAATGAAATTATTGTTAAAAAGAAAATGGCCAAATCACCCTACGTTGGTAAAAAAAAAAAAAATGATGATAAAAAATCTTGATAATTTTATTCAAGTGATCGTGAAAATCAATCAAATGTGAAAAAAATTAAGATAAAAAAATATATTTTTATGAGAATTATGATTTCAGATTACAATTTTACATTTGTACACACATTTTTTATTTTTATTTCCCATTAAAATATTAAATTACATGTTAATATGGAAAATTTAGAGTTAGTTGTTGTATAGACTTTGGTCATTTCGGATAAACCACATTCATTACACTGCTAATGAAAAAAAAAAATTTAAATTAAAACATTTTAAATGCAATTAAACGATAGAAATAATCAAGGAAAAAAACAATTCATTGTTTTAATTGATTAAAAGCTATTAAACTTTTACTCGAAGTTTTTTTTTTCGGAGCGTTTAACCTAATTATAACTTTATTTTTCTCCCTTGTGACTCTGGATGTCGTGCATGGCACGGGAGGAGGAGGGACTGGCATCAATTGGGATCTTGATTCCGTTCCAGAACTTCCCGATTCGTCGGCAAATTGTCTCATCATGACGTGCATTCTTTCCTGATGATTTCGCAACAGCGCAACTTTTTGACGCTCCGATTCAATTTTTTGCGTTTGAAGAGCTTGACTTAAATTTTGAATGCGCCATCCTTGACTTTCGTTTTCCTGTTCCAGTTCGTATATTTGCTGTTCCATTTTTCTACCGCTTTCCTTCAAATCGATTACCTTTCGAAAATATTTATGCAAGAGAGTTCTCATTTCATCCGATGATAAATGGAGTAAACGATCCATGAGCATTTGCTCTCCTCTATTCTCATGGCTTTTAACGCAAATCGAATCCATGCTTTTTCTACCGCACATGACTTCATTTTTGTATTCAATGGCAGCGTCAATAGCTTCGATCCCTTCGTCGCACTCTAAAATCCTCCTTTTTTCAACGGGGGATAAATTATGACTCTTCCTATATTTATCCCGTAATTTTTTTCGTTCATCCAGTAGACAATCCTTGGCATTTCTTAAATTGACTATTTCTTTCCTTAACTCTTCGCTGTTTTCGGTACTATCATTCGCGCTGGAACTTCGAATGTCCAATATTTGCAAATGCATCGTTTCCGAGTTTTCAATATCCGAATTTCGTTTCAAACGTTCCGTGCTTCCTTCCAGAGTTTTAATTTTTTCTTCGTCTTTCAATATGTCTTCCTTCAATTTTTCTTTTTTATTTTCTTCTTTTTCTATGTGATCCTTGATTTTTAATATTTCCTTTTCCGATTTGAGCACGCTATTTTCCAATTCTAAAACTGTTTTCGCACTATCACCAGCCATTTGCTTGACCATACCTATATCTCTCAAACGTTTTTCATAATGCCTCGCTAAATTTTTTTGTTTTTCAATTTCTGTTTTTTGCCTAAGAACAAAGTCGAGGTCTCCTTTGTGTTTTTTTTCATGAAGTACATTTTCAGCTTGAGCAATTTGAAAACGAATTTTATAATATTCTTGTTCGAGTTTGGTGCATTTTTTACGAAATTTGAATTTGGCTAATTCTCTTGTACTTCGATTTTTAATTAATTCTTTAATAAGCTGCTCTTTTATTTCCACTGTGTGTTGAAGGTCCAGTAATCTTTTATTAGCATCTTCAAGATCTATGTTAATTTGTTTCAATTGTGTTTTTTGACTATCCAATTTTAAATTTAAACACTTGAGTTCTTTACTAGATTCATTCACTTCTAATGAAAATGCATTTTCAAGGCACATTGTTTCTTCTTTAAGATCAATGCATTTATTTTCTACAATTTTTTCTTCTACTTCATGAATTTTACTAGTATTTCTTGCTATTTCATTTAATGAAATGGGAACCGAAATACATCCCGGATGCAAACTTTTTCTTCTTCCTAAAAGTCAAAAATCATAAAATTTAAATTTTTTTTCTGAAAGGCAAATATTGATATTTTTAAAATAATTTTAAGATAAAAATAGGTTTATAAACTATACATTAAATTATTTAAAAGTATTTGTTTGAATTAATACCTTTTTGGTGAGCATTAGGAGGAAAGAAATGTTGAGGAAAAGAAGCAGCTTTATTTAAATTTCCTATTTCATCGGCATCTACATTCTCTTCACAATCCTCTTTACATAATTTATTTCTAATTAACATATCAACTTTATCTCTAAAACTTTGCATGCATTTTTCAAGTCTATCATCAAACTCAGGGTGTTGATAATCGAAATCACTTTCAGAATCTGATTCATATTGACTATCGGAAGACTTTCCATGAATTTCAGCAAGATCTTGGGTATTTTCCGTATCTTCAGTCAATTCTTCAATTCTTTCTAATGAATGTCTAGGTCGACCATCAAAACTTGTTGCTTCATCACTAGCTAAGCAATCTTCGCATTCTTGCTTTAAACAAAGCCATCTTTGAATTTGCTCCTTTTCTTCCCCAGACAGTAATATACTGTGTAATAATTTATTAAATAACTCTTCTGCATTGGTAACTAAATTAAGCCATTGTATAGCAGCAAATTCCAGTCCAAATGTGTCTTCATTACATGTATGGTATTCAGACTCCATTACACAAAATTAATAAGAAAAAACTAATATTTTGGAATTAATACCATTTTTAAACATTCTTAAATTAAAAGTAATATCGTTTTACTGGAAAAATAATTCAAAACAATAATTGTTAAAAGTTGGCAGACCTGAATAAAAACTTAAAAGTTTTATTTTATTCCTATACCTATTACGGTTTTTACTGGGCAGTATTATTCTAGTGACACGTAGAAATTTTAAATATGGCCTAGAGCCGTTGTTTTCAAGTTAAAAAATAAGAAATTATTTAAAAACACGTTACAAGCAAGTACACAAAACATTTAAAAAATTGTTAAATGAATTATTATTTTTCTTTATATAAAAAAGATAAATTTCTTGTATCTTTATTTTGGAAATTCCTCGTTGAAATTTTGAAGTTAAATTAAATTTACCGTCAATCTTATTAACAAAAATCATTGAAAGAAAAAAAAAAAAATTAAGTACTGTAAAGTGAGTTTTTTTTTTTTTTTTTTTTTTAAATAAACTTCTGATTAAATTAAAGTTTGTGCCCTAAAAATTTTTCTGTTTTATTTTTCTAATTCCTTTTTTTTTAAATTTCACGTCTGGTCAAAGATTCTTTTTCGCTTTATATTTTTTTAACTATCATAAATAATAAGTATTTGAAAAATAATGATGTTTTATTATTCATATATTAAGTTTACACAGATATTCATTAAAAGGTATTTTACTTATCTTTTTTTTTTTTTTTTTTTTTTTTTTTGGGTAAAATTATATATTGAATTCAAGTTATTAATTTATACCTTTGAATTAGGACGAACAGTTACTATGCTGATGTGTTTTAAATTTAATAGTGACCTCGAATCAAAATTGTTTTCAGAAATAATTCGTTTTACGATTGAGATATTAGATAAACGTTTTTATCTTAAAACAATGGCTCTTAAAAATAAGGTATTTAAGGGATTTTACTTAGTTTTTTAATTGTTGTAGACAGGAGAAATTCAATCGAAGCGCTGTTTACGGCGCATGATTGACCACGTGACTTTTTGCAATCTAGTTTAAGTCATTAAGGGGTAGCCTGCTGTGGTTCGAAGATGGGAGAAAACGATCAAAATTATTTTGAAGGAGTGGAAAAGTTATTAGAAATATGGTTTACAAGAAAAGATGGAAATTTTGAAAATTGTAATTTACGAGAAATACCAAGGTAAGGTGTATTTATTTTATAATCACCTATTAAAAATATATCTGCCGGCGGTTTTTACGCTCATATTCAATATGGTGGGCTCTATTGTCGTAAAAAATCGAATTTCAGATTATGTACGGGCCCTGTAAATCAATTTTTTTTTTTTTTTTTTTTTTTTCCTCTCTCCCCAATCATCACTTTCACATTAATAAATATTTTTATTAAAAATTAAAACCGGTTTCATTTAAAAATTATTGTTTTTTTTTTAATTACCCCCCCAAAAAAAAAAACAAGTTTTTTATCAAACGGTTATTATTAAAAAAAAAAAAGTACCTGAAAATTTTTTTTTTTTTTTTTTTTTTTTTTTTTTCCAATCTCGAGTACTTATTAAGGAAGAATATAATTTTAACCTTTTTTTTTTTTTTTTTTTATAATTAACGGTATATTTTAAAATAATTATTATTTATATATTAAAAATAATTTTATAAAAAATCGGTGCAAGTACGAACTATTCTCAAGTGTAAGAAATAGTAGCCAATCGATCTTTACTTTTTTATTTGTTATTTATAGTTAAATTTTTTTTTTTTTAAAATAAATATCTTCATTATTACATTGTCATAAATTTTTTTTTTTTTAATTATTTAAACTGCCAAATTTTTAAATGAATCATTATACCACTTGTTTATTTTTAAATAATTACTAATTATTTTTTTTTTTTTTTTTAGGCAAAAATGGGAATTGATATTGAAAATGGTTCATTGCGAGATAATAAGCTTCTCATGTAACGAACATATGGATGCTTATGTTCTCAGGTGAGTTTTTCCATAAAATCTTATTTAAATATGTCATATATATATTGAAACAAATTAAAATCAGCTTAGGATGTTAATATGTCTTTGTTATAATTTTTTCAATATTAAATTTTTCATTACATAAATATAATCTGGAGGAATTATGTCGTACATTACATACATGTGTTTGGTTCGATTGCTGTTTGTGTCTGTGTGTGCGTATTATGCTTAAAATGTCGATGTTCGAATGAAAAAAAAAAGAAAAACTTCAATGAGGGCTTAAAATCATAAAAAAATTTTCAATGTGCACATTTTTTATTAAATATTTATATGCACAATTTTTATTGATAATTTATAAAGTTACTTTAGGTAAATGCTATTGAATAAAACCTTACACTTTCCATTTTGCTTTATTATTATTATTATTTTTTTATTATTTTGTATACATTGATCGAATGAGTTTAAAATTAAAAGGAAAATTTCACATAATTGTTGTGCAATGGAATTTTTGTTTTTAGAACTGATAACTGTTGTTTTGACTTCAGCCTTTTTTCTCGAGAAAAAAAATTAAAAATGGAGGCAAACGATTGAAGATTGAACAAACGTTCTACAACATTGGTTGAATTTATATCCAAGCCATGAATTTTTTTCTCCTACTACTTTAATCGGGCTAAACTTGCCCATGATTGATATTGTAAGGCTGTTTTTTTTTTTTTTTTTTTTTTTTTTTTATGGTATATAGTGTGGTAAGGCATGGAGTAGTAGAATGTGTGAGTTGCACTCGAAATGATATTTTGAGTGTGCCTCACCTCATTCAACGGGGTGTGTGCTGTGCTTAATCATTATTATTATCATTCATATCTCATAATTATTATTCCTGGGACATTAAATACTAAGCCACAATAAGTAACTGCTTTATTAAGGGTAAATAATTGAAGCAAATTTTAAATCGAACTAATATAATTCATAAAAGTTATAAAAATTTCAAATCGAAACACAACTTTTTTTTTTATTTAATTATTATTTAAAATATTTATATAACTTTTCATTGCACATTGAAAATCCTTTATCATTCATATATTTATTTATTTGAAATAATAATAATTATTATCTAATAGTTATAATGAGTATCGGTTAATAAAAGCTTAATAATTTGGCTAATGACTAATTAAAAAAATTTGTTTGTTATTTTGGGGAGCTTTGAAAAAAAAAAAATTTAATTGTAAATTTAATTGCAAATATAATTTGAATCATAAAAAAAATTAATTAATTTTAAATTATTATTATTATTATTTGCTAAATAAAAAAAAAAATTACAGATAAGGTACTTTTTTTTTTTTTTTTGAAAATATTGATAGATATTCAAGGTAAATTAAAATTGTTGAATGATAAGGAAAATATTTTATGTGTGTGTGTGTGTGTGTGTAATTTTTTTTATTTGAAAAAATTTACTTAATGGATTTTTTTTATTTATTTAATAAAAATCAAAGTTCATGTTTACTTTATTATTATTATATGAGTAATTTTAGATTCAGACGAATTAAATGAAATGAGATGAAAGTAAGATGGGAATTTAATATTATGCAACAATCTTTTCCTTTTCCTTTTGAATTTATTTATTATTGTACATTTTTATATTATTTACATAAATTATCACACAAAAAATTTTAACCGTAGTTAGATTAGTAGCCTGTCATTTATTTGATAAGCCTTTTTTTTTATACAAACAAACATAACATGGGAAATGAAATTTTTTATTTGGTTTTAAAAGAATGAAAAATTTTCATTACAGCGAAAGCAGTTTGTTCGTGGCACAAAGAAAAGTCATATTGAAAACTTGCGGCACGACAACACTTTTGAAATGTTTGAAAACTTTAATTCATCTCGTGTATCAAATGACCGGGTTCGATTACGTCGAAAACGTTTTTTATTCTCACAAGAATTTCAATAGACCTGATTTGCAATCGAGTCCTCATCAACATTTCGAACACGAAGTTGAATTATTGGATTCATTTTTTTCCGACCGAGGTAAAATTTTTCACACGTTACAAAATGGGGGGATAAATGATGATGACGATGATGATTCCTCCTCGATTGATTACCTCAATATAAAAATTTTTAGGTGGTTCTGCATATTGTTTCGGTGCCGTCAACAGATCCTGTTGGTACCTGTACACATTGAATCCGTTGCAAGTGGTCACGACGAAAAATCGTCAGAAATCAGAACCGGATCAAACATTGGAAATTCTCATGACAAATTTGGATGCAAGAGTAAGTAGTGGAAAAGAAGAAGAAAAACGTTTTTCCCCCCTCAACCTCATCATCAACGATTTTTCTTATAGGTGATGTCCATCTTTACTCGTTTGGAATCTTCTTCGGCTGCGCAGGCTACTAGAAAATCTGGTATCGATAAATTATTACCCAACATGGCAATTGATGATTTTTTATTTCAACCCTGCGGATATTCAATGAATGGCATTTCTAAAAATGTTTGTTGTTTTGTTTTTTTCGTTGGTATTTTACATTATTATTATTATTATTATTAATTTTTATTTACCACGCAGGGATCGTACATGACCATACATGTAACACCCGAACCTGGTTTTTCATATGTGAGCTTTGAAACCAACGTACCGCAGACTTCTTACAAGGATGTCATTCAACGGGTGATTAATACATTTCAACCGGGAAATTTTGCTTTGACGGTTTTTGCTAATGAGGTGAGCATATGGATTTTCCCTCTCTCTCTCTCTCTCACTCTCTCTTACTTTTTTTTTTTTTTAAATTAATTAAATTAAATTTTACAGGACTCTTCTGCGGCTGCGACAATTCGGGATTTGGAAAAAATAAGATCGTTTGATGAATGGAAAAGACAAGACGTGCAATATTGCAAACTCAAGGATTACGATTTGACTTATGCATTTTATTCGAAATTTCCAAGCTGAGGGTCCGCGATGGCCCGTAGCGCACCTGCCGCTCGGCGCCTTTCCCCCAAATCCCACCACACCGAAGCTTTCTTATCCGATAATTTCTGTTTCATTTTCCATATAGATTTTCCAAGATTTTCAGTGCACATTATCCGATTCCTTGCTTTTTGCTTTATTAGTACACTAGTAGGAGTAGGAGCAGGAGCAGGACCTCAGTCGCAAATAGAATGCGTAACAGCGCAGAAAAGAGTGTCTCAGTTTGTGATTGCTTTAATTTTATGGTTTCCCGCTCATTTGTTTGCCCTATGGCGTGATAAAATATCTTGAGCCAATTTCCCCTCCTATATATTTTTTATTTTTGGTTAATATATACACACACACATATATATATATATATATATAGTTAAAAAAAATCAATAAATGGTATTCGGAAGATAGTAAGTTTTTATTTGTAATACCGTAAAACAGTGTTGTCGTTACCGCTTTCTTTTATATTAAATAGAATATAACAAAAAAAAGAAGAAGGAGAAAGAGGATGAAAGGCGAAAGGTATAAGAACGGAAGAAGAGAGGGGGGAAGGGGGAAAAAGATTCAATAATTTTGAATTATCGACCGAAATCTTCTGAATACCATTTTATTAATGTTTTTTTTTTGATTTATATATATGTATATATATAAGGAAAATGTTTTGAGCAATTGTCAAAACAATTTTTTTTTTATTTCTTCTTGTCAAATTTCACAAATTGAAAAAAAATCTTTAGAAGATTTTTTTCTTTTTTTTTTTTTAAATGAATCTATTTACGATGTTGTTAAATTCCTTGTTTTTCTTTCTTTCTTACTTACCTATTATTATTATTATTATTATTATAAATTTTCATCGATGCAAAGAAGAAGAAGAATATTAAATACGCAACGGTGGTGAAAAATGTTATTAAATTTATTTATTTTATTAGAAATAATATAATTTTCTAAAAGTATTTATTATTATTATTATTATTATTATTATTATTATTATTATTATTATTATTATTATTATTATTATTAAGCAAATGGATTTTTAATATCGTCATAATCGAAATCTTGGGTAGGATTAAAAGGATTCGTCGTCGTCCGATCATCCGCGTCTTCTTCGGCAAACGGATTTTTAGTTTCGTCATATTCTTCTTCGAAAGGATTACTATAGGAAGGAATCATAGATGAGACCTCTTGTACTGCCCTGTAATCAATCAATCAATCAATCAATCATTATAAAAATCAGAATTTTTCTCTCTCTCTCTCTCTCTCTCTCTCACTCTGAATCAAATAAATGCTTTGTCATATGTTTTAAAAAAAAAAAAAATTGCCTTATTTTGTCATATTATACCAATTCCTTTACCCACGTGCACACACACGTGCGTGCGCGTCTCTAAAAGTTTTAATATGTGAATATGAATCATTATATAGATTATATTTAAACAGTTTTTAAACAATTAAAAAAATATTAATAAAACAAAAAAAAAAATTTTTTTTTTTTTTTTTTTTTTTATTATGATTACCTGATACTCGGAGTATCTTCTAATTTTTTTATATTGGATTCTATTCTATCCGAAGATGTATTTGTTATCGGCTTATAACTTTCATAATTTTTACTCGTTGCTACCTCCGCTTTACTTTTAACATTATCGTTTGTTTTTTCTACGTCTGAAATTTAAAAAATATGAGCAAAAATATTTTTGACTTGTAAAAAATTTAAATTAAAGAAAATCTTGTGTTGTAACGTGCCAGGTTTGGTTTTTTGTTCTGCCGTCATCGAAATGGCGGGAGGTACGATCGTTAGGGTATTGAAAACTCCTCTACCGAAATAATCGGCGACAACCGAAAAACCATCGTCTGCTTTTTCCAATTGACTGTGAAACGATTCGTGCAATTCGTGACTTTGTTCCTGATACTTTATCATATCTAAAAGCTGTTTATTGTTTCTTTTGCACACAATGCATTCGTTTTCATTTTCCGAATAGCCCTGAAAACAACTAAACCCAAACAAAGGCATAATTACGTCATTAATAATTGAAATTTAAAAATGTTTCAATGTTTCGTCTTAGATTTCGTTTAATAGTTTAATAAATGACGTAGTAATAAATTAAAATTTACTGTTGGTGGTAAGAATGTTGACATAAAAAATGAATACTTGGTAATTCCAATTGATGTGTGCAAATGCTGCATCTCGAACCCTGGAAAATGGTCGCGTTGTTTTGCAAATCTTTTATGTGCGATTTGACTTTTTTAGTTTCCGCCGTGTACTTATGTATCAATTCCGATTCTTTGGTGAGTAATTCTTCTTCGGCCTGCAAAACGGTCATTAAATACTTTCTCACTTGTCCCAAAGTCGCGGGAGTATCTCCAAGAGCTTCAACGGTTAACAATGGAGACAGTAATTTTTCTTTTTCTGCAAAAAAAAATTTAGGCACGACGTTCGAGAAATAGATTCGGAATGATTTAAAAAAAAAAAACTTTGACCGTAATAAAACATTTAACTGATTGTTTTACCTATAACAGCTAAAATGTCGGAAAGTAGTTGAGAAGGAGCGGAAGACTGTCTCGCGACCGACCATAGAGCTTGAACCCACAACGAGGGATCTTGATGACCGTATCTTTTACACGTTGCCAAAACAGCTTTGTAATCTTCCTGCATTAAATAATACTGTAGCACTTGATGATACCTAAATTAGAACTATATTTTAATTAAATTAAATTGATAAAAATTGACAAAATATTTTCCTTTTGATAATTTTGATCATTTCAAATATGATATACGTACATTTTATTTTCTTCGTACAATAAAATTATACCTGGTGAAAAGTTGTACATTCGACATAATATGAACGTTTGGTCTTTATCGTACAAAGCATCCGGATTTTGTAAGAGTTTCATTAGTCTTTGTTCTGCCATTGTTTTGTCATTTCCTTCGGCTCTACTCCAAACAACCTGAATTAAAATAATAATTAAAACGTAAAAACCAACACTTCTTATCATGCTTATACACGAGCCATTTTCCTTATACAAACTTACTAATAAATGCTCGACCAAGGCATTATAAATTTGCTTATTCCATCCGGAACGTACTTCGATTAAATGCTCTAAAAATTCCACTAAATATTCCGATTTATTTAAAAACAAATGCAAATAATCTTGAGGATTAGGACTTGAATTTTTATCGTCGAAAATACCATCGTAAGTTTTTTTCCCCGAATTTGCTTCAGTGAAATAACCTTTTAAAAACTCTGTGGTTTCTTTAGGCACATTATTAATTAAAATGTCACCAAAATCAAGCAAGCATTTTTCTATCTGTAATTTTTTATTAAACTATCTTAATCAAGTTATTGTTACTTAAAATAATAATTTAAATATGGACTTACATCTTGAGCTTCAAGTGTTCTAATGTATTGAATGGCTTCGTTAAATTTTTTCTGATCTTCTAAAATGATTCGTAAAACCCATTCGTGTTTAGCATGAGCTTTTGCCAAAAGCAAAGCATCATCCGGATTCACACCTCGAACAACTTTTAATGCAATGTCAATATCAAAATCCAATTCTCTATCTTTTGTCTAATATTAAAAAAAGAAAAAAAAAATTAATTTATCACTTTTTCAGATTGTTGCAATAAATAATTTTTTCGAGAAAAAGTTTTTATAAGAGAGACAAAATTCATCATTCGAAAAAAGAAAATATTAACGTTTAAAGTTATAAAAATAATACTTACCATAATAAAATTTTTCAAATCAGTTGTTCTACCCAATTTAATGTAACAGTTAAGAAGAAGAGTAGTGTGATCTTCATCAGCTAATCCAGCTCGATGTAAAGCTTGTAAATATTCCATTAATTGTTCCATGTGAGCTGATTCCATAAACTGGAAAAAAAAGAAAAAATAAATTTCTTTTTTTTAAGAGCAACCATAGTAATATTATATTGAATCAAAACAAAAAAAATTTACCCTTCTAATTATATAAGATGGTTCCAGTTTTCCAATGGTTTTTATATATTGTTCTATTGCACCGAATCTATCACCTTTAGCATATAAATGATCACCATATTGCCTAAATATATCCACAAGTCCTTCTTCATCATAATGCTGACTTTTAGCCATTCTAAAATTTAAAAAAAAGAATTAAATTTTATTACTTGACAGCTCTTTATTAAATTCTTTGGAAGATATTTACCTTATGGCAACATCATAGCGATTTTTTTTAAAGAGTAAGGCTAATTTTGATTGAACATTTTTTTCAACCAAATGATGAATTTTGTGATCTTTGGTAATAACATAAAAAGAACCCCATTCTACAACCACTGCAAGAATAGGTTTCATAACGGTTGAAAAAACTATTAGTTTATTTTGCATATCCAAAATAGTTATTTCATGATTTTCAGATGCATTAGATTCTCTAAATGAAATAATATCTTTAAATATACATATTAAAAAAATAATATTTTAATAAATAATCACATTTAAATAAAAGTACCCTGAAATCCGAGTAGAGCTCAAAAATGAATTGGAGGAATTTATTTCTTTTTTAGATACTATAACTAAATACATTTTAGACCATTGAATTAATGTTTTAACACCTTCTACTGCATAACAGGGTCCTTTCCCATCAGTTGTATAACAATATACAGCATCATTTCTGGCAACGACAAAATTGGCTCCATGAGATGATTCAGCCATTAAACTGCAATTAGCTTTGCAACCAATGTTGTCTAGTTCAATCTAAAAAACATGGATGGTAACTTTTACATAATGAGGATAACAAATTTGAAATGCTTTTAATAAATATTTACTGGAATACACTTTATAAGAGATTACCTTAATTTCTTTATCTTTAACTGAAACATCGTAAAAAAAAACTTGATCCTCATTTGTGGTGAATAAAAATGTGAATTTGGAAAAAGTCCTGAAAGCTAAACCTGTAACAGGGCTATTTCCACTATCTTTTAATAGTTTAGTTTTACTACTTCTATCTCTAGTTATATCTCCTCTAAAAAGTAATATGCTTCCATCGATAAATCCGATAGCAATAAGATTCAGTGCTTCATGAATACATAAGCATGATGGAGATACAGCTTTTTGAGTATTACATGATTTTGTCAATGCAGAATTTAATCTAGTAACTCTTAAACAAGTTGGATTACCGTTTCTGTCTAATTTTTCTATATTCCAAACTTTTAATAAAGGATTTACTCCGACTTCATCATCACCGATAGCAAGTAGTAAAGGTGAATATTTCACAAATTCAGCTAAAGTAATAGTTACGGCAAAACCTCTAAATGATATGCCTTTAAAATTTCTATTCAAAATATGAATGTTTCCTTCATTATCCCCAAAAACAAAACTTCCATGTCCGCTCGTTGCTAATTTTAATTGATTTTCTTTAAGAAGTGAACTGACAGCTCCTTTATCGTTATCAGTATTCAAGTCAAAGAAAGGAAATCTTCTCAACTGAAATTCGCGGAATAAATACTTATCAAAAATTCAAAAATTTTATTTCCAAATTTTAGTATAACTTTACCTCGTGAATCGCCATTTAAAATTTTTATTAATTAGTAATACATATAAAGTTCTCAAATTATTTAGCCTGACATATTTACAAGTTAGAGTAAAATTCTCATAGAGGTTTTTTTATATCTCTATGACATAGTATCAACGTTCACATGTGATTTGTTTTTTGTTTTTTTTAAAATGGGTAAAGTTCGACGAGGAAAAAAAATCGGTCGGTGTAAACTACGAAATAAACAAGCATTAAATAAAGACGAGCCAGAAGAATTAAAAAATGCTCCTCATTCATTTGTATTTCACAGAGGAGCGGTTGGCGAAAATATTTCTCGTCTTACTTTGGATTTTCGTAAAATAATGGAACCTTATACCGCGTCTTCATTAAAAGCAATGAAAGCTAATAAAATGAAGGATTTTTTAGCTATATCAGGGCCTTTACACGTAACACACATGTGTGTATTTACTTCAACCGACATTGGAACTTACCTTAAAATAACACGTGCGCCAAGGGGCCCTACGCTATATTTTAAAGTCTTAAATTATTCTTTGGCAAAAGATGTAATATCAAGCTTAAAAAAACAATATGTTTCTGATCAGCAATTTTTACATCCTCCTCTTCTAGTTTTAAATAATTTTACAAGTGATGAAATTCAATTAAAGCTAATGACTTCAATGTTCCAAAACATGTTTCCAACATTAAATCTTGTTAATGTAAGTTCTTTTTTTTTTCAATTTAAAGTTTTTTTTTTACATTTTTTTTTTTAATCTGCTTTATTTTTACAGTTAAATTTAAATAATGTAAGAAGATGTGTACTTTTTAACTACAATTCAGCTTCAGATGAAATCGATTTCAGACATTATGCAATAAAAGTGACTCCTGTTAACATTTCGAAAGGTGTTAAAAAAATGATTCAAAATAAAGTTCCAGACTTATCGAAATATTCAAACCCTGCAGAATTTATTTTAAAGTAAGTTTTAAGGTTTAATGTCCAAAATTATTTTATTCTAGTTTTTTTTTTAAAAATTATTTATCTTTTTCAAAATCTTTATATTAGGTCAGAATACTTATCTGAAAGTGAAGCAGAAGATGATCCAGACAGTCATGTTACATTACCTCAGAAGATTTCAACTCGAGGAAATATGTTATTAAATCAATCATCCATTCGTTTAATAGAGCAAGGTCCACGTTTAACATTACAACTTTTTAAAATTGAAGAAGGATTCCTTAATGGAGAAGTTTTATATCATAAAAACATTATTAAAACGGAAGAGGAAAAAGCTGCTATATTACAGAGAAGATTAGAAAAGAGATGCTTAAAAGAGGCTAGGAAAAAAGAACAAGAGGAAAGAAAAAAAATAAAAGAATTAGCTAAACAAAAGTTGAAAGAAAAATCAATACAGGGACAAAAGAATAATAAGAAAACGAAAAAGTTAATTAAAATGAACAACGTTAATAATGGTTTCATTTCCAACGGTGATAATTTTGATGATGATAATAATGATGGGGATGATGAAAATGATGCTGCATGGTTCAAAGCAGAGGTAGGTAAAGATCCAGACAGTGATCTCTTTAGTTCTCAATCGAAGGGAATTAAAAGAAAAAAATTAGGATCGGATTATTTTAAAAAAGGAAAAAAATCAAAACTTAATTATAAATCGAAGCAATTAAAAAAAACATAATTTAATACTTTTAACTTATAATTATAATACATATATAAAAATATATATGAAATTTCACAAATTGTTTTATTAAATAATATTCAATCTCGTTACGGTTTCAATAAGTCTAATTCCCATGATACATTCAATTGAGTTTCTGGAGGAATGCTGTATTTGAGATTAAATAACGAAGGTGGTGCATTTTCCATCTGCGTATGTGATAAAGCTAATTCATTGGATGTCGAATTGAAATTGGACTCTTGCATTTTCAACAGGCAATCAGGTGTCCAAATTTCATTTTTAGAATTTTCAATTTTTTTCAACAATTGTTTAAATTGACTTTGTAATTTTTCTGCCAACTCGTATTCGTTAATTTTAACTAAAAATTTATTTAGCTCGCCTACTTCTGATGATAGCTTTAGTGAATTTGTGACTAAATTGTAAAGGGAAGTCAGTAAGGCCAAATCTTCATAAGGGCTTCCTTCTTTCAAACTTAATAGTTTTCGCTCTTGTTTTCTTTTATTTTTTGCAGAACGGTATGTTTTATTTGTTAAACGCGTTGATGCATTAGATCTCGTTATTATGGTGCTTGCATCCGAATATGCATCGCTGTCAATATCGTAGTCTGGCTTGCTTTCCAAAGCCAGCAACTTATTTTGTCGTACCACCAGCAAACGGTTTTTTTGTTTTTCAATTGTATTAGTGACGTCATCAATATGTAGTCCGAGTGAATGTGCCTGATGGACGGCTGCTGAATATATCATTTCTTTTGTGTAATCCTTGCAATTGTACAACGCGCAAATACGGTAAGCTTCATCAAAATATTTACCTAACGCTAATGTTTTCGAACATTCTGTTATATCTTTAATGTAATCTTTGTAAACTAGACTGGCATCCATAAATTGCTTGCATGCAATTAAATTTTCCGCGAGCTCATAATACAACTCGTTCAATTCGCTTTCTTTAAATTTTAACTCGTTAGCGCACGAAATAACTTCGCGCCAATTCCCAGACTTTTTATAAGCATCGATTGCATTTTTGTACAATCCAGCTTTGGCGAACATAATACCGGCTTCCTCAAAATGGTTCCCCTTCATTAATTCTTCTCCGTAACAGACGCAAATATTTTTAAATTTATCTGTATTTTGCGGAACTAATTTTAATGCATATTTATACAACTGATGTGACTTTATAAAAGTTATGCACTCGTCGATTTCATCGCACTGTATCAGATTTTCTAAAGCTTTCTTATATCGTTTTAAATATTTATCAATTGAGTACTTTTGGTAATGAGGTTCCAAAGACTTCAAGTTATTAAGAAAAGGCAAATATTCTTTTGGATCTTTCTGAGATTTGTTTGCCACGATGAGAACTAAATCAAAGTCGTACATTCCCAAAGCTATATTATAAAGCTCATCGACATCTATCAAATATAAAACATATTTAAAAGCTTCATCGAATGTTACACTAGATTTTATCCCCTGCATTTCTTTTTCTTTTAAACTTTTTAATTTTAAAAGAGCTGCTTCTATGAATTCAATTTTATTTCTCTTGATGAGGCAAGTCAGAATCGGAAGTAAATATTTCTCTGAATTGTTTATCTTACTTAAAGCTTTTTCTAATAAGTTGCAGACGGTACTAATTTTAGAAAAATCAGTTTTTTCAAGAGCATTATTATTTTTTTTATAAGCAACAGCATATGTAGTCTTTGTCAAATCTTCTTCTGTAATATCGGAAATAAAAAGACTTATCCATTGAGGATCTTCTATTTCTCTTAAAAAACTGTCCACATTATTAGCAAAGAGTAACGGATTGTGATCGTAAATTAAATTGAGATTGATCCTTTGTTTTCTCATTAGATTAAATGCCTCGGCATATTTTAATGAGTCTAAAAATTTTCCCACAGCATAAACTGATAGTGCTCTCGGTTGTATGCATTCAAGATTCCCTCTAGGCATTTGCAAAATTACTTTCAGATCTTTATAAACTGATGTAATAATTCTTGAACCTCTTTCAATTTTTCTTTTAAACAATTCCGATTCATGCACTTTAAAAATGTTTATTTCTTCATAATTTATCGATATTAACTCTTGCTTAAAATTAGTCAACAAAATAAAAGCGTCGTGAATATGAAATGACAATATATTGTTAAAAATTAACTCTCCGTTAACATAAAATTTATGGAAATTATCTAAACTAAATATAATTAATTTTCCATCGGTTTGTTCGAAAATTTCTAAATCCAAAATCATCTTGTTTTTTTTATCAGAATTAACACTTGTCAAATTATCACTTTTAAGCGAATAAATCATTCCATCATTGTCATATACAATAACTGTCGATTTGGAAAATTTTAAAATTGCAACAGTTGACTGTAGCAATATTTCTTTTATTTCATATGACGCAGATAAATCACTTTCTTGAAAGCTCACCATGTTTAAAATGGGCTTAGACTTTTCACCTGTTACTTTTAATGATGACAGTAACAATTTATTTTTTTCAAACCAAATTCCATTGTAATAAAAATTTCCTTCATCGATAGGTAGTTTTAGTGTTCCTATCAATTTATGTTCACATTGCAATGTTTTATTAACTAAAAAGTATTTGTAAATTAGTACAGTTCCATCAGATAACAGGAGCATAAAATCATTAGGAGATAAATCTTTATCGTTTTTTGCAAACGATACAAAATTAACAGGTGAATTCAATTGAATTAAACTACTATACATTGGAGGAGGTATTATTCCTTTTTTAAATGAAGTTAGTTGCACATTACAACCATTTATAACTGCTACAAATGATTCATCACTTTCACAATTTACTTTACTTTTGCTGATAACCCATAGCCAAGAATATTTAAAATACTCGATACCAAATTTTTTATTAACGACAATATGCAAATCGCTTAATCTCTGATCATCCCATTTTAATGAAACAGAGGTGGAATTATTTATAGTTATGGTATATTTATAATACCATTTATAATTACTGACGGTGTAAAATTGAATAATGTAATTTCCACATTCTTCAGAATCATTTAAATGACTATTTTTTTCTGAATCGCTATCAGTCAGTGCAACAGCCAATATTTTCGAATCTTTGCTCCAGCAAATTTCACTTACTTTTCCAAACTGTTCATTTGTAGCTAATTTAAAATCTCCATGTTTCATACCATTTTTTTCGAAAAAACTTACAATGTACTTATTTAAATGTTTTTGAGTTGTTGCTATTAGATTACCAGAAGAACGCCAATCTAAAGAATCATCGAGACCGTTAATGCATTCACTTGTAGATTGCAAAACTCCATTTTTGTTAAAAATTTTAATGTATCTCAAATTTTTTTCTGGATTGATACTTGAAACAGCAAAATATTCAGCATCTCCTCTCCAAGAGATGACGATCCTATTTGTGTTACTAAATATTATCTCTTCTTTATCTTCTGCCTTATATTTTCCAGCAGACCCTTGGAACTGTGTTTCTTTACTACCCCAACCAACAGTAATTATTTGTTTCTCACCGAATCCACCACCGTGAAGTGGAGTTTCTGAAATTGTATCAAAATCACTGGACAACAAAATTATATTGTCAGCCCCATCAACAACAGCAATCAATTCTTGCTCTGGGCTCCATTTAACGGCTTGTATGGAATCAGACACCGAACCTACTATATTTAAAGTATATTCTTCATTTTTTTCAATGGAAATTATATCTCCATTTTTTAAAATTAAATACAATGCATCTTTTTCATAATGATAATTTATATCCAAAGCTTTTAAACTGTCATTTTTTGTTCCTGGATAAAGTGTTTCTTTTAAATCACATATAATCTCTTCATTATTGTCTGAATATTTGCTCACAATACCTTGTCCATAGGCGTAAAGTACTCTGTCATTGACACAAAATACTTCACAATACTTTAAAAAATTTAATGAATGTCTTTCAATATTTGATACGGTTATATTTCGCATTTTAAAAGCATGTGTGTGTTTTAAAGAAAAGTACCTGTCGTAAGATTGCACTTTGATAACTTGTTTGTATTTGCAAAGGTTGGCATCCTTACATTTTGCTGTTTTTCTGGATATTATTAAACGTGTTGATTTTTTTTACATTAAAATATATTGTAAGCTTTTTCAGTATGTTGTACATTATATACATATAATTTTATTTATTTATGTACTTTTATATACATGCTAAACTGTAACATTGTTTAAGTAAATTTATCATAATAATTTGTAATAAGATAAAAAAATAATCACGTGGTTTTACAAACGTAGAAATCTGTTATTCTTCAAAGCAATATAATTCAGTATATAAAATAATGCCTACGATAAATATTAATCGTGATAGATTATTTGAAAATTTAGGAAAAAAATTCAGTAAGTAGTGAAAAAAAAAAATTTTTTTAAATTGATTTTTTATTCTTTCTATTCTAAGTAATCTAAAAATAATATTTTTTTTTTTAAGCTGATAATGAATTTGCAGAATTATGTTTTGATTTCGGGTTGGAATTGGATGAAATTGTAAGTGGTAATTTTATCTAATATCAAAAATTTGTCCGTAAAAACGCCAAAATTAAAAATAAAGTATTTATTTACCCACAGACTACCGAAAAACAAATGATTTTAAGGGAACAAGGTTCCGACCAGCATGCTCAAAACGCTTCCGAAGAAGTTATATATCGTATTGATATTCCAGCCAATCGATATGATTTACTTTGTTTAGAAGGTTTAGTGAGAGGACTATTAATATTTCAGGGCAAGTATGTATCTCAAGAAATTAAAACTAGAAAAAAAATATTAAAAATGTTTTATTTATTAATTTTTACGTGTGTTTATGCAGATTAAAGCCACCAATATTTCAACCTTCTGAAAATATCAATGAAAAGATCACGGTGATGCCTAATGTAAATAAGTATTTTGTGTAATGATAATAAAAGAATTCGACTGTTACCATTAATGTACTTATAACTTGATGAATTTGTTTTTATTTCAGACCAAATTAATCAGACCTTATATTGTATCTGCCATATTAAGAAATGTTACATTTAATAACGATATTTACAACAGTTTCATCGACTTACAAGATAAACTACATCATAATATCTGTAGAAAAAGAAGTTTGGTTGCTATAGGTACTCACGATTTAGACACAATTAAAGGGCCCTTTATTTATGATGCAAAACCTCCGAGCGAAATCACTTTTGTACCTTTAAATCAAAATAAAAAGTATTCTGGTCTTGAAATCATGGATTTATATGCTGTTAGTTAAATGAATATCATTATAAAATTATTTTAAAAAATAATTAAAGTAAATTTTACATTTAAATTACATCGAAAACCATCTCGGTATAAATTCAAATGCTTTGTTTTTTTTTTTTTTTTTTTAGAATCATGCGCAATTAAAGCAGTATTTACCTATAATTAAAAACAGTTCAGTTTATCCTGTTATATTAGACAGCAATGGTGTTGTACTTTCATTGCCTCCGATAATAAATGGAGATCATAGTAAAATAACATTGAAAACGAAGAATATTTTCATTGAAGCTACGGCAACAGATTTGAAAAAAGCAGAAGTTGTAATAGATACAATCGTATCCATGTTTAGTCAATATTCATCGAATCAATTTTCCTACGAAAGAGTTGCTATCGAATATCCAGATGGGAAAAAGGATATCCAACCGAAAATGGAAGTTAAAAAAATGAATGTCAATTTAAACAAGGCAAATTTAATTACCGGAATACAAGAAAGTCAAGACACTTTAATTAAATTGCTGTTGAAAATGGGTTTGACTACGGCGACCAATAAAAAAAAAAATTCACCCAAAATGTTGGTATCCGTTCCTCCTACCCGCCATGATATTTTACACGAAATCGATATAATCGAAGATGTAGCCATTGCATTCGGTTACAACAAGATAAAAAAAACATTTCCTAAAACTGCTACTGTTGCACAAGAATATTCTTTGAACAAATTAACAGATCATTTGAGAGAAGAAATAAGCAGATCGGGTTTTACAGAAGCACTCACATTTTCATTGGTAATAAATTATTTAAACTGACTTTAAAAAAAATGTTTTAATAATTTTTTAGAATTTAATATTAAAATGAAAAAAAAAAATAAAATTAGTGTTCCACAGATGATATTTCGACTAAGCTTGGGAAAAAAATAAATGATATTCCAGCAGTTCACGTCTCAAATCCTAAAGCACTTGAATTTCAAGTATGCAGAACAGAACTATTACCTTGCATTTTAAAAACGATTGCTTCAAATAAACAATTGCCACTTCCGATAAAAATTTTTGAAGTCTCAGATGTAGTCATGGCGAGTAAAAATGAAGAAGTTGGAGCGAAGAATGAAAGACATTTATGTGCAGTTTATTGTAATAAAACATCTGGATTTGAAATAATTCATGGTCTTCTCGATAGATTAATGATAGCTCTTGCCATTAAGCACGACATTGAGAAATCAAATTTTGGTTATTATTTAGAAGCTCACAGCGGTAAATATTTTATGCATCTCCAATTTATTAAATGGCTTACATTATAAATTTTAATAAATTTATAAATTATATTTTCAGACCCGACATTTTTTTCAAAAAGGTGTGCTCAAATTTTTGTTAATGGAAATGTTATTGGTAAAATGGGCATACTGCATCCTTCAGTTACAAAGGAATTTGATATAAATTTACCTTGTTCTGCTTTGGAATTAAATATTGAAGTTTTTTTATAAAATATAATATATTTATTTAATTGTTTTTTGGGTTTATTTATTTAAATAAATTTATAATAATGTTACATATACCGTACATATTTATAAAATAATAATATAATTCATATTTGTTGCTTAAAAACATAAAAAATAACGTTAATAATATATTTTGGCCATTTTAATGTGTGGCAAGTTCAACTTGAGAGTATATGTGAAAGCTTTTCCAAATTTAAAATTTTTTAAAAAGGCGCCTTTTTTTCGGAATGTCATGTTTTAAAATGAAACGATTCTAGCAAAACCTTATTCAGGTTATATTTTTCCGTAATTGAAACCAACGATTCGTTTTTAAAATTAGGTTTTTATTCTTGAATAATTTGTCAAAAATTAATTAAGAGTGGGTTTAATTAAATCACGCAGGGAAATTTAAGAATTGTGGAAGTTTGCCATTCTGATGTCAGAGAGCAGCACAGGGAATTTTAGCATCCGGGAACTTCATAGTAGACATGGCGATTATTAATTTGAGTTAATGATGGTGATTGTAATTAAAATAACTTCAGAATTTATTAGTGCCTGTGTTTAGATTCAATAATAAAGAGAGCCATTAAATGCAATAGAAAACTAAAGAAAGGTAAAAATGCAGAATGTAGCACAAGGTTCCTCTTCAGATAGTCAAAAAATTGAGAAAGGGAACGCTCATCACGATACAGAAAAATCGTCTACTCCCCAATCTTCAAATTCAAGTCCCACAAAATCAGGAACTGAGACTTTCTCAGAATTACAACCGAAATTTATGACTGATTCGTCGGAAAGCGAGGAAGACGACGTTTCTGAGGTAAGAATAAAAATTTTAAAAGGAAATCAAAACGATTACGTGTGGCCTCGAGTATGTTTCAATGAACTTAGGAGAAAGACATTTTGTGCCAGCAAGCTTGTACATTAGGCTTAAAAAATATGAATAAAATAATTTTTTCAATTGATAATTGTTCAATACCGTACGTATATTAATTAATTAATTTATTACACAATAAATAAATTATATAGAACCGAATAATTGCGATATTTAAGCCTTAAGTGAATAAACAAAATGGCTTCCGTAATTTGCATTTTGAAAAAAGATGAATCAGTTTGATATGATTAGGCCATGTTTTCTCTAAATATTTCACATTTATGCAAGTTTTCTTTTTATTTTACCAGTGTCATCATTTTTTATAATTATTATTATTTAAAATAATGTAGTTCACATTCAATGTATGAATAATATATATATATATATATTTAAAAACGATTCATTAACAAGAGCTACTGCGGAAAAAATGGCAATCACTTTTCAGCGAAATATTACATTCCTCATTATATTCATTCTTGTCATTCTTAAAGTGTATTAAAATTAATTTTAACGTTATTTATCGTAAAAAAATTTTTATTTTATAAGTTTTTTAAATTTAAATTTAAATTTAATTTAAATAATACTTTTTTTTTTTTTTTAACTGCCGTGGTATTGTTCAATAGCAAACTACTATTAAACACTTTTAATAAAAAAAAAAAATTTTTTACTGTCTGTTGCCAAAATTTTTCTAAATAATTTTTTTTTTTTTTTTTTAAATTAATTTTGATAAAGTAACAAATTTTTAATAAATATAATTTTGAATTGAAAAACTTTAAAATGTTTTTTAATAAATAAATAATTGAGTGTTGTTCATAAAAAAATTTTTTATCTTCTTAATGTTTATATTGACATATTTTTTTTTACATCGAAATTGATTCTTTTATTTTAAATTATTTTCTATATTTATTTAAAATTATAAATAATTTTAATAAGTTTAATTTTTGTGTCTGTTTATGTAAAACTTTGCTTTTAATTAATAGGGGGAGGGGGAAGGAGAAAAGCAAAGCCTTTTTTATAAATTTTAAAATTTTTTTAAAGTTTAGTGAACTTTGATAAATACTTTTACCTTGATTGCATCCATAAATTTTTTCTATAATAACAAAAAAAATTATGTTTAGCTTATGTGAAGAAAAAAAAACCTTTTAAAAAAAAAAAAAAATTGTAATCATTTTCTTATATTTTCTTTATATATGAATTTTCAAATAATATTTAGATTTAAAGAAATTCATATGATTTATTATTATTATTATTATTAGTATTTGTTTGTTTCGAATAAGAAAAAAATTGTTATTGGTGATTAAAAAAGTAAAATTAAAAATCAATAATATTTTTACATGCAAAAAAAAAGAAATAAAATATCGAAATTAATTAATTTTAAAAAAGTATCGAATATATTTTAACAAAGCTTAATTTTTTTTTTTTTTTTTTTTTTTTTTTTTTTTTTGGAACTTGTCAATTACATAAATTTAAATAAATAATGGACATCTTAAAAAAAAAATTTGAAAAAATTCAATAAAATATGGTACATAAGTGTGTAGTAGTAGTAGTAGTAGTAGTTTATTGACCTAATAATGAAAAAATGTCGAGCTAATTTTTTTGTATTTTTAAAAATTATAATTTTAAAAATTTATTTCCTTTCTTTAATATTAATTATTCAAAATTTTCGCGGTTGTCTATTGTTTTTGTTGTTGTTGTTGTTATAAATTTTTGTCCAAAAAATTTTACTCTAAACTAAACAATCATCAAACACTAAGAGACTTTTTAAATTTTACCTTTTACAGGTTGAATCTTTTATGATAGAGCAAGAATTGGACGAAGATTCCCGTCTTGATACGTCCAAATTTCTTCTTAGTGGGGGGTGCGCAGAGGGAGCGGAAAATTCAGTTGATCCAGAAACTCAAGCCCGATTAGAAGCACTCTTAGAAGCTGCCGGAATATCAAAGTTATCAACGGGTGATGGGAAGCAATTAGCTGACCCAGAGGTTTTGCGTCGTTTAACTTCAAGCGTATCTTGTGCTTTGGATGAGGCAGCCGCGGCTTTAACTCGCATGAGGACGGAAAATCCTCGTTCGCAAGTAGAACTCGTTCCTACTCGTTCTTTGGTTGAAGCTTGCACAGACGGGGATGTTAGCACTGTTAGAAAGCTTTTAACAGAAGGAAAAAGCGTTCACGAAACCACGGAAGAAGGTGAAAGTTTATTATCCCTCGCTTGCTCAGCAGGTTATTTAGAACTTGCTCAAGTTTTGCTGGCCATGCACGCCAACGTCGAAGATAGAGGTGTAAAAGGAGATTGTACTCCTTTAATGGAAGCAGCATCGGCAGGACATCCTGATATAGTTAAATTACTTATTAACCACGGAGCTGAAGTAAATGCTCAATCTTCTTCAGGTAATACTCCTCTGATGTATGCTTGTGCCGGTGGACATGAAGCCGTTGTCCGCGTTTTATTAGAAAATGAAGCCAATGTGGAGGATCACAATGAAAATGGTCATACACCTTTGATGGAAGCTGCAAGTGCTGGTCACGTAGGTGTAGCCAAAATATTATTGGATCACGGAGCCGGAATAAACACTCATTCTAATGAATTTAAGGAATCCGCTTTGACTTTGGCTTGTTACAAAGGTCACTTAGACATGGTTCGATTTTTATTAGAGGCTGGAGCAGACCAGGAGCATAAAACCGATGAAATGCATACGGCTTTAATGGAAGCTTCAATGGATGGGCATGTTGAGGTGGCTAGATTGTTACTGGATTCTGGTGCCCAAGTAATAAACATATATGCATTTTTGTCTTTACTTAAAATTGTTAACATGTAAAATAATTTTTTTTTTTGTATATTCAGGTAAACATGCCTACGGACAGTTTTGAGTCTCCATTAACTTTAGCTGCTTGTGGGGGTCATACGGAATTGGCCTTGTTATTAATAGAACGAGGCGCCAACATTGAAGAAGTTAATGATGAAGGATATACTCCCCTTATGGAAGCAGCAAGAGAAGGACATGAGGAGATGGTTGCCCTTCTTCTTAGCCAGGGAGCTAATATAAACGCTCAGACGGAAGAAACTCAGGAAACTGCATTAACTCTCGCTTGTTGCGGTGGTTTTCTAGAAGTAGCTGATTTTCTTTTAAAAGCTGGTGCTGATTTAGAATTAGGGGCTTCAACTCCATTAATGGAGGCTGCTCAAGAAGGCCATTTAGAACTTGTACGATATTTGCTTGAATATTATCACGCCAATGTCAACGCTCAAACTCAAACAGGAGATACTGCCCTTACTTACGCATGTGAAAATGGCCACACCGAAGTGGCTACTCTTCTTTTAATGTATGGTGCAGAACTAGTAAGTCATAAACACATAACAATAATATTATTATTTATTATTATTATTATTATTATCGAAAAGAAATAATAATTTTAAAACTGTACAATTAGGAACATGAATCCGAAGGAGGAAGAACGCCTTTAATGAAAGCATGCCGAGCTGGTCATCAGCAAACGGTGCAATTTCTTATTTCAAAAAATGCAGACGTGAATAAAACTACTACCAACAATGATCATACTCCATTATCTTTGGCCGCTGCCGGTGGACATATTGGAGTTGTAGAACTTCTTTTAGCTCATCATGCCGACCCTTTTCATAAACTCAAAGTAATTACTTTTCTTTAAATTAATGTATCAATCCTTGTTTTAATAATATTACAATAATAATAATAATAATAATACAAAAATATTATTGTCCTTTAGGATAATTCAACCATTCTTATCGAAGCTGCAAAAGGAGGACATACAAATGTGGTTCATCTTCTTTTGGATTATCCTCATTCAATCATGATGCAACCCCCGGCGGTTCCTCCTCAACCTTCCGAAGATCTTCTTCGAGAATACGATGCTGCCAGAGCGGCGGCTGCAGCTGCTATTGCACGAGAAGCTGAACAAAATGGGCAAAATAATAAAGTGCCCCTACACTGTGCTAACAAACCTCACAATCCTCAAAAAGCACTTTCACTTCTGAGAAAAATCAAACTTCCTACGACTTCCGAACCTGGTTTAACATCTTCCGAAGCTCAACAAGTTAGTAAATTTTTTTAAAAAATGTTTTTACAACATTTAAATCATTCACGTCATTTTATAATTTAATAAACGCGGTGTTAATTTTTTTAGGTGAGAACCCAACCAGTGGGTGAAAACGCATCAAATTTAAATCATAGTGTGCCAGAAAGTGAGGTTAATGTGCAAAACAAGGGAAGTACCAGTGGTGTTTCGAATAAGGAAGAGAAAGAAAAAAAAGACGTTACTGTGTCGACTGCTACACTAGTTCCTGGCCCGAAACCTTTAGTTCTTAACATTGATCTACCCTCTCAGCAAAACGTTGCAATAGGAGGAAATGGGAAAGTTGTGGTTCCAACTCAACCCAGTTCACCTCCGCAACCTCCTCAAATGTCTTTGCCCAACTCTCCTCCTCAACAACCCTTTGAAGTTACGCAAGTGAGTAATTAATTGCTTATTTATTTATGAGAGGTTAAAAAAAAAGTAGTAATAATAATTATATTATTATCCGTACATTTTTTTTATTAGATCACTGCTATTAGTGATCGGCCTAAAGCAAAACCCGTGTCCAAAAAGGAAGGGAAAAATCTTCGTAAAATTAATCTTCAACAGCAACATTTAGAATTACAACAACTCACTCAAGAATTTCAACAAACGCAGACCCAAAACCAAAATCAAACGTCGCAAACTCAAACTTCTCAAGTCCAAGATCGTAAGTTGTATAAATTTTTTTCCTTTTTACGGTGAAATATTTTTTTTGAAGAAGAAAAAGTTTAATATTTTATGTTGGTTATTCACAGTTCGAGGTATCACGCCAACTCAACTTCTCGCTCATCTTCAACAACTTGATCCTGCCATAGCTACTGCTGCTACGCCTTCTCAGCTTCAATTATTACAGCAAAAACATCAGCAATTATGGACTCTACAGCAGCAGGTAATTTTTTTTTTTATAAAGTTTTAAGTAAAAATTATTATTATTATTATTTTTTTTTTTCTTCAAATTAAATTTTTTTATATACACAGATCACTCCGGCAAATAGCGTGGATGTTAACGAACTAGCAGGTATGCTGTCTGATCAGTCACAACCTTGCCATTTATTTACGACTACGGAAGATATGTTAGATAAAATGAGACAGAATGTGGTTGCAGATTCCTTGCTTATTGCAGCAATCACTTCTTCCCAAGATGGTAGCGACGGGAAAGAAGATGGTAAAAACCTTTCTAAAACCCCTGCAGAACAGATAGACAATATTGTTATGGATTTTGCTCACAAACTAGAAGCTTTCCGTTTAGAAGATTCCACAATCGGTAGCTTTTCAAAATAAATAACTTTGTTTTTTTTTTTTTTTTTTAAACAGAATTTGCTGCAAATATTTCTATTATTATTATTATTATTATTATTATTAAAAATGAAGACTGATTATAGTTTATTTTTTTTTTTTTTTTTTAGACCAAGAGAGATTAACGGCTGCAACTCAGCAAGAATTATCCGCCGAAGAAGCCTTAGCTGCGGAAGAAGAAGCGTTTAATCTGTTAGCTCAACAACAGCCACAAGATTTGGCTTACATAACGGTTCCTGCTATTTCTTCACAGCAAAACCAGGTTAAAAATTATTATTTTATTTTCAAATGAGTTTATTTATTTATTTATTTTTTCTTCTAATTATTTTCTGTCATTTCTAAATCATGCTAAATAATTTATAAAGTTATTAATAATATTTTAACTAAAAAAAAAAAAAAATTTTTTTTTTTAGAGGGGAAATCAAACCAACCACATTCAATATCAACAATTTTCGACGCCTCACGATATTGTAACTCAAAATGATGTTTCAACCGGTTTGCAGATGACAGGCACTTCGTTACAACTTTCAGGCACTAATGGTCAACCAATGTCCTTGACCCGAACTAATGAAAGTAAATATTTTAAATCATATTAAGAGAAAACTTTATTTTTTTTTTTTTCTTTTCTAACTCATCTTTTAATGTATTATATTATTTTGTTGTTTTTAAGGAGCCGTACAAATGTCTGGAACAAGTACCCAGTCACAAATATCTGGTAGTAATTCTCGACAAATGGATCTTTTTTCCGCCGGTTTTGTTGCCGGTTTACAATCTGTGAATAAGGCTAGAATGTCTGGTACGTTGGCCGTAATTTTTGTTTTAAACTCGAGGGTTGATTGATTGATTGATTGATTGGTTTTTATTTTATTTTATTACCGTTTTTTTTTTTTTTTTTTTACATTTCCCACATAGTGCAGACGTTTTTTTTTTTTTTTTTTTTTTTTTTTGAATGAGTTAAATTATTATTGAATTTTTATGATCCTTTTTTTTTTGCGGTGAGAAACGTATCTATCGGGGTAAGCTAATTGACCGTTGTTATTCCTTTTCTTAAGGGAATTTACCCGTAAGTGGCAATGTTCAACAAACTGCCCAAAACATTCAAGTAGGGAGCGGAATAACGCCATTACACATGGCAAACACATCTGCAACCCATTTAATGAATTTATCCGCTAGAATCGATCCCGGAAACGCTGCTTTTCAATCTCAATCTTTGTTTCCATCCCCATTGAGTAAGTTTGATAATAATAATAATGACGTAGAAAAAAATCCGACTCAAAGCCGCGGAGGAATTAATAAATAAGTGGAAAAAAATTAGCCGATTAATATTACTAATTTTTTTTTTTTCTTAACATTTATTATTACATGTTTTATTTTTGCACCGTTTAGCTTCTCCTTGCTCTACAGCAATTTAAACTCACTTATAAATGTTTAAAAATTAAATTAACTGCGTTTTTGAGTTGAGTTTTTTTTTTTTTTTTGTGATATTTTTTTCCAAAAATTAATACGAATAATACTTAATAAAAAATGATGTAAATAATTATTTATGTTGAGATGTAAAAAATTTTTTTCAGGTCGTAATGTTACTACTTGTGAATCAAGCACGAGCACTACCCAGTTTTCATGTCCTATTACTACCGAAGCCAACACCACTAGACAAGTTCAAGTGGCTACCCAAACTGTTACGGAGAAGAAAGTTTCTCACACTCAGTCAGCGTATTTGCCCATAAAGGGTAAAAAAGCACGTTACCAAATACCACTGAGACAACATAACTCCAATTTTACATCACATCAACTTGATGCTAACTCAGGTAAACTGCCAAACATAACCAAGGGGTAGTATTTACCATTTTTTTTTTACCGAACGTTAAGAAAAATTTTTCGTTGTTTCATAGGCATAGGTCATTATCCTCAGCCTAGTAATGCTGCCCAGTGTCAACAAACAACACCTCCAGTTTTACATCCGCCGATACAGCTTTCTTCTGGAATGGATGTTGATTCAGAAACGGACACCAATCACGACACGGCTCTGACTTTAGCATGTGCCGGCGGTCACGAAGAACTAGTAGAATTATTGTTATCGCGAGGTGCTGATATAGAACATAGAGATAAAAAAGGCTTTACTCCTTTGATACTTGCGGCAACTGCTGGTCATGAAAAGGTTATTTATTATTTGTTTTTAAATTGATTTTTATTATTTTTTTTTTTATTTTTTTTTTTTTTTCAAGGACAAAAATAATTTAAGGATTTTTCTCATGACAGGTAGTAGATATTCTTCTTAATCACGGGGCAGATATTGAAGCTCAATCTGAACGTACGAAAGATACACCTTTATCCCTGGCTTGTTCTGGGGGAAGATACGAAGTCGTAGAGTTATTACTAACAAAAATGGCTAACAAAGAACACAGAAACGTTTCCGACTACACGCCTCTCAGTTTAGCCGCATCGGGAGGCTATGTAAACATAATAAAACTATTACTAAGTCACGGAGCTGAGATCAATTCAAGAACTGGAAGTAAACTCGGGATTTCACCTTTGATGCTAGCAGCCATGAACGGTCACACGACCGCCGTACGAATACTTCTTGATATGGGAAGCGATATAAATGCACAAATCGAAACCAATCGAAACACTGCTCTCACGTTAGCTTGTTTTCAAGGAAGGCACGAAGTTGTTAGCCTTTTACTTGACAGGAAAGCTAACGTGGAGCATCGAGCAAAGGTAGTCCTTTCTTTACTTATCGGTATGACCGATTGTAACAGGATTTTTTAAATTGGACAATTAACAATCGTAATTTTTTTAATTTTTTTAGACGGGTTTGACACCTCTAATGGAAGCGGCTAGTGGTGGTTACGTCGAGGTGGGTAGAGTCCTGTTAGATAAAGGTGCAGATGTTAACGCTCCTCCGGTACCATCATCTCGAGATACTGCACTCACGATCGCAGCCGATAAAGGGCATTGTCGTTTTGTTGAACTTTTGCTTTCGAGAAATGCAATGGTAAGTAATTTGAACTTTATACTTAACCTTTTTACAATAACATATTTTTACACTTGACCTAATTTTAAAAAAAATTTTTTTTTAAAGGTTGAAGTTAAAAACAAAAAAGGTAATTCTCCTCTCTGGTTGGCCGCCAACGGAGGTCATCTTAATGTAGTTGAACTCCTTTACAATTTGGATGCCGACATCGATTCTCAAGACAACAGAAAAGTATCTTGTTTGATGGCAGCTTTTCGTAAAGGTCACGTTAAGGTAGTTAAGTGGATGGTAAATCACGTCACGCAATTTCCAAGTGATCAAGATATGACGAGGTTCATAGCGACCGTCAATGACAAAGAACTCCTTGAAAAATGTCACGAATGCGTAAAACTCATCCGTGCTGCTAAAGACTTGCAATCGGCTAAAGCGAATAAAAATGCCAGTATACTTTTAGAAGAATTAGATATGGAAAAAACTAGGGAAGAATCCAAAAAAGCGGCCGCGGCTAGACGTAGGGAACGAAAGAAGAAAAAGAAATTGGAGAAAAAAGAGGAGAAGCGAAAGCTCATCAATGAAAATAAGAAAAATGAAAAAATTCCGTCGGATAATGAAGACGAAGAGGAAGAAGAAGAAGCGGAAAAATCAGATATCGAAGAAATATCTCCTAAAGTTACTTATACTAAAGAAAAAGAAATGAATAAGGAATCTAAAAACAACAACGATGTTAGGTTAAATTCTAGTTCACCGCTAAGAAACGGAGAAGCCTTGGACAAAGAAGAAGGTGATAGTGGCATCGATGCCAACAGTCAAGGATCTTGTTCTTCGAACGATGTCAAATCGAAAGAAAAACGAAAAGATAAAAAGAAAAAGAAGGGAAATCAAGGTGAACGAGATAAATCCAATAGCAATAGTAACGAAGCGTCGGTCAACAGCGAAAGTTCGAGCACCGTGACGAATTCGAAACCGAATGTTGGTACGAAAGAACTTTCGGAAAGGTAAAGGCACAATTTCATTCGTTTTCCCTTTATGGAAAAAAAAAAAAAAAAAAAAAAATAATAATGCGATGAATAATTCGAAATTCGAATCAATTGTTGAAATTCCAGGCGTCATAAGGGAGGAGAATCTATCACGCATGAAAATGGGACTAACAATATTCCAAATTTATCACATTCGGAGAATAAAAATAACGGAGGAACCGTACGTTCGTCCGAGAAAAAAAGTAACAAAGGCTCGCTCGTTTTCGAATCCTCCCGACATCCCGCCGATCGTGAAGATTTCGAGGCAACCGGAAATGAAACTTACATACTCGGAAACAAAAGCAGGAAAAGCAATAATTATGTGTAATTATCAAAATTTTAACGATAAAAAAATGTTTTAATCAATTTGAAAAAAATATTTGATGAATTTTGCATTTTCTTATTCTTGACAGAAATCATTTTGAAACGGAAAACGTGACGAGTAATAAAAACCAAAATTCTTCAACGAGTCCCAAAGGATGTGGGAAAAGAGAGGAAGGATGGAAAGAAGTTGTACGCAAGTAAGTTGATCAGAGTGAAGTAATAAAATTTATAAGGGATAATATTTTTTTTTTAAAAAACCTCCTAGACTTCTGTTTTTTACACACGTTTACACACGTTTCATTTTTCCCGTACACTCAAAAAACTTTGAAGATTGATTGATTGATTGATTGATTGACGTCATTTTACTTAAATTGTTTTACTTTGTTATTATAACAGCTTTCCATATAGATCTAAGAAAGTGTCAGTCCCACTGAATGCAATCAGTAGGGTGATTGGACGTGGCGGAAGCAATATCAACGCAATACGCTCCGCTACAGGGGCGCATATTGAGGTCGAGAAACAGGGGAAGGGACAAGGAGAAAGAATTATCACCATTAAGTAAGTCGTCAAGGATTAAAAACGAAAAATGATCGATCATACCCTCCTTGAGACTCCTTGCTCCTTCCTAATTTTTTCAAAATTCTTTAACTCTTTTCTTAACTAACGAGTTTTAAAAAAAAAAAAAAAAAAAAAAATTCACCGAGTTGCCTTATTATATATAATTTTATTGAAAAAAAGTATTAGGTTGTTATAAGTTAAAAAAAAAAAAAAATTTGAATTTTTTTTTTTTCAATTGCAGGGGGTCAGCCGACGCGACGAAACAAGCTCATAATTTAATTGCTGTCCTGATAAAAGATCCGGATGTTGATATATTACAAATGCTACCCAAACCCGCCAAATCGTCAGCCATTGCAACTTCGTCAACGGATAAAGTTACTATTTCGGTATTTAAAAAAAAATTTTTTTTTTTTTTTTACCATTATTGATTTTTTTTCATTACTAAAAATTATTATTACAACCTTCGGTTTTTTAATTTTTTCTTTAAGGTTGCCAATAAAACGAAACATACTACCTTGCCAAAGTTGTTGCCCCGAATCGGTACTCAATCAGTTTCCGTTGTGAACAAAACAAGCGTTACCCCTAGTACTTCTGTCAGATCTACCGCTCCTACCAAATTAGTTTATTCTACCACAGTCTCTAAAAGTACCGCACCGCGATTAATTTCAGTCAGTAAGTATAGTGCGGTTCGAAATTGCGTTCGTGAAACGTGGAAGACAAATGCGAAAATGCATGTATTATTATTTTATCATAGGTGAAAAAAGGAGTTCGGGTAATACGCAGTTGACGCCGAATACCAAGACGACAATGTCTTACACTTCCGCGATTATGACTTCTGGTAGAAATATGAAAATAACACCGCTAGCAAGTCAAACGTTCGCTGCGAAATTGAGCGATTCCACTTTGTCGACTACTGTAAATACCGCTAGCGTATCGATGGTGGGAAAATCTCGGACTCCGATCGGTTCAGGATCCATGTTGACACCATCTCAACCTCCTGCCACGGCTCCTGTCAGTCCTCAAGTTTCTCCACATCAACAAGTTTTATCATCTCCGAAACATCATAGGTTAATTTTTTTTTTTTTTTTTTACTTAATTTTAACTCTTTTTATTTAATAATAATAATAATAATAATTTGTCGAATAAATTTTTAGGCCGCAACCAACGGTATCTGCTCCGCCAAACATTCAAGGACAATTTTCTTCAATAGCACCTTTTCCGCAATCGTCTTCTGTACAATCTATGTCTTTGATGCAGCAGCAGTCGGCAGTTAGAAGTTCGACGCCCATTCAGCACGAAATAGTCAACCAAAATCATATTCCTCAGGAATATTCTTTGTTTAATGACTCTTTTTCCAAGGTAAAAAAAATATTTAGGGATGAATTTTTTTTTTTTTTTTTAAAGCCAAAAAAAAAAAAAAAAAAAAAAATTTCGAAAAATAATAATTGATGTTTTCTTATGATTTAAGTCTTCTATGTGGGGAAGGGAAAATGAACAAAGTCAAAAGTTGAATTTTGCTAGCGTTGCTGCGACTAGTAGTTTATCATCGGCACCTCCTACAAACACTTCAAAATTTATGGAAGACATTCAAACTCAAACGCAAGTTGATGTGACAAAAGCACCCGGATACAGAGGCAATGCCGTTTGCTCACCCGTCTCATCGAAATCAAATAGCAATTTGCCAATCATGTACAGCGGAGGTTTTCCCGACCCCCCCGCTCCCAGCCTAACAGTTCCGAATGTGAGGCCGTCCATGGAAATTTTGAGTACGAATGTAAGTATTTTTATTATCCTATTTTTTTAAATGTATTATTATTATTATTATTAAACA